GTCACTGTCGCTGTAGTGCAAAGACATGAATGGAAGGTGTCCATCTTCTAGCTCCTTCAGTAAAGGTTTCAATGAAAACACTCTTTCCAGCTCCATTTTTCTTCGCAGTTCTGTTCGAAGACGCTTTTCAGCCTGGAAAAGTTAGGCACAATGACCATTAACAAAATCTTTTGTGGTATGCTTTTAAAATTACTAAACCTGGAAGAAATAGTGGCTGGAAAGAGTGTATGACATGCTGAACACTAGATTAATTTTCAACAGAAAGCAAAGTAGAAAAGATACTCAATGAATGAATAAGAGCCTTTTCCAATTCGTCGTGCTTCCAAAAACTGAAACATATAGGCCAGTGTAACTAGAAAGTCATCCTTTAGACAAAGAACCTTGAAGAATATAAAGGGGAAAGCTAAATTAGTTTATACTAGTAGAAGTAGTTTCACCATACGACTGGCTCTTTACAGGCTTTTCAGGTCAGAAAGTGAACCTTTTTTCTGATAAGCAAAAGGAAAAAGAATGTCCTGCTTCCAGGAAACAAACTGTCTAATTTGAGGCCAAAAAAAAATGTTGAAGAGCATGAGTAACGAAATTACTCTTAATTCTTCCTGGAGTTCAGCAATCTCCTGATATGCTGATTGCGCTAAGAGCTTCTGGCTCTTCCTATCAATCGCTTCCTCGCTAATTTCTGAAGTAAGTGTCTCTATTTCCTTTTCTATTCTGGCAAGCTCCTCTTTTGCGGCAAGCATGACATTGCTTCCCACATAATTCCCAAAACTTTGCTCAATTAACTTCCTTGCTTCTTCCAAAGTCCGCCCTGCTCGTGAGACTTTTATCTCATCTAAATCACTTGATCTACGGGTAACTTTGGCCCCCTGGAGAATAAGACATAAAATCGTGAAATTAAAATAAAATGAGTCAAGGAGGCTCAAGCTAGAATAACGCACCGCAAGAAGATTAATCACCATCCCATACGAGGCAGTAAATTGTGAAACAAGAGGTTGAAGCCCAGAAAAAAGAACTTTGCAGCACTCTTCAGGCCCTTCATAAGGAGTCTGAACAAGAACCACATGACCCTTTTCATCAATACCTCTACGACCAGCACGCCCAGCCATTTGGAATAACTCATTTGAGCTTAACTGGACACGTCCACCATCACCCCTTTTGCTGAGAGATGAAATGACAGCTGTTCTAGCAGGCATATTGATGCCAGCAGCAAGTGTTTCAGTAGCAAAGACAACCTTAACTAGACCTCGCTGAAATAATTCTTCAATGAATGATTTCCAAAGGGGGAGACAGCCAGCATGATGTGCAGCCACTCCTCGGCGGAGGCCTTTCACTGCAGACACACGCACAGCATCAGGGTATTGAATACGGAACCTCTTGAGTGCCAGTTCGACTTCACTCGTTTCACACTCATCCAGTAACCTGCAGTCTTCAAGATATTGAACAGCTGCATCACATCCTTTCCTGCTAAAAATGAACCAAACTGCTGGAAGCATATCTCTCGCCTTTAGGTGCCACAATGTGTCTATAATTTGAGGTACCTGAGAATATACATTTTGTAACTAAATTTTGTGAAAATAGTCATATCTATGAGTTACTTGACAGGAAAACTCCAGGATATAAGTTAGATTGACAGTTTTCTGTGAAAATTACAATTTTTTGATACATTCTGTGTAAATGATGATGTAGCAACAAATTATCCAAGAGACGAGAGATAACATTGCAACACAAATTTCAGACTCAATAAGCTCGGTGCACACCTGTGAGCGGCGAATATTATTTATATCATTCTTTGAAAGCGGACGAACATCATTTTCACGTTTTCTTGATTTTCTTCTTTTAGATCCTTCTTCCTTGTATAGTTCACTGGCAGATTCATCATACTGTAAATAGTTGAGTGACAGCTTCCTGCTCAGTCAGAGGAAGGTAATTAGAAATGAAAACTTCAGCATCTTCTTGGGTAATAATTGTCCTCCAAATACTACAGAGAGTATTTCACACCGTTATGATTTGTTTTGTCCCATCACGGCCCTGACTATTTTTCTGGCCAATCCATCATATGTAGCTGAAATATAGTTTCTGAAAATTTTGTAGATACAATCTTTTGACTTCAGATTGCATATGGTATGCTCAACATATAATCAGTTTTATTATATGCCATGAAAAACGAGAACAGGGCCCAAAATTTAAACTGACAGACATTAATACCTGGGAATCAATAGTTTACCAACAACAACAAAAAAAAAAACTCAGTGGAATCCCACAAGTGGAGTTTGGGGAGGGTAGTGTGTACGCAGACTTTACCCCTATCCTGGGGAGGTAGAGAGGTTGTTTCCGAAAGACTCTCGGCTCGAGAGGAAGAATAGAGACAAGCAAATATCAACAACAAAGGCCAGAAAAATTATACCAACAATGCAAGAACCAGAAAAATAGAAGGAAGGAAGCAATAGCAATAGCAATAGCAACAAGCAGTAACAACGACAAGATACTAGAAAACCGAAGCGGAAGATAGTAAGAAAACAGCCATAATAAAAGCAATCTAAGAACAACGACAGGATACTCACAGATTAGCCCTATTAAACCCGGAACGGATCGGAAAAACACCCGACTACCTACTACTCTTCTACCCTAATTCTCGACCTTCATACCCTCCTATCAAGGTTCATGTCCTCGGTAAGCTGAAGTCGAGCAATGTCCTGCCTGATCACATCTCCCCAATACTCCTTAGGTCGCCATCTACCTCTTCTCATACCCGCCAAAGCCAACCGTTCACACCTCCTTACTGGGGCATCTAAGCTTGTCCTTCTTACATGCCCGGACCATCTAAATCTCGCTTCTCGCATCTTGTCCTCCAAGGGGACCACGCCCACCTTCTCCCAAATATCCTCATTCATAATCTTATTAAACCTAGTGTGCCCGCACATCCACCTCAATATCCTCATTTCAGCTACGTTCATCTTTTGGATATGGAATTCTTGACTGGCCAACACTCTGCCCATACAACATAGTCGGTCTAACCACCGCTTTGTAGAACTGACCTTTAAGTTTTTGTGACACATTCTTGTCACACAGGACGCCAGATGCTAACCTCCATTTCATCCACCCCACCCCTATACAGTGTGTGATATCCTCGTCAGTCTCCCCATTCCCTTGGATAAATGACCCGAGATACTTGAAATTTCCTCTCTCGAGACCGTCTCCAAAACCTCCAACTTCTCACGTCTCTTCAATCAGTACTATATCATCAGCGAATAACATACACCATGGCACCTCCCATTGAATATGACGCGTCAGTGCATCCATCGCCAATGCAAATAAGAACGAGTTGAGCGCAGATCCTTGGTGTAACCCCATTCCAACCGGAAAATGATCCAAGTCTCCTCCCACCGTCCTCATTCGAATCTTAGCTCCATCATACATGTCCTTAATCACCCTAGTGTATGCTACAGGAACACATCTAGCCTCCAAACATCTTCAAAGGACCTCCCTAGGGACCTTGTCGTACGCTTTCTTTTAGGTCAATAAACACCATATGCAAATTCTTTTTCCTATCCCTATATTGTTCCACCAACCTCCTAACAAGATGGATGGCTTCCGTAGTCGAACGTCCTGGCATGAAACCGAACTGATTCTCGGTTATAGACGGAATCAATAGTTTACCAAGATTTTTCTTTTTTTTTGATAAGATAAATAGTTTACCAAGATTATGATTTTGAATCATGCATATACCACGACCTTTGGAAAAAAACTATAACAAGTAAAGCAGTATATGGTACAAGTTAATCCAATGTTGTAAACGAAATCCGGTGCAAATGCAGTGAATGCTAAAAATTCCAGAAACAAAAAACAATGCAAGACATTGCCACTGGCAAACATTAAACGAGAAGATAAATGAAAGAGTTAAGGGAAAAAAAACCCTACCTATTCATGCTTGTGCCTTTGTCATCAAGAAGAGGTACTAAAGCTGTCTTTGTGCCGAAGTGCCAAGTCAGTGGAATTGGACGCTTGGATGATGTTACCAACTCTGTTCTACCATGAATCTTGAAAGATCATTAAATTAGAGAAGTGAATACCTAAATTTTTAACTTCTTGTCACTAGATTAACTTTAACAAAACCAGTAAGTAGAACTAGAACTGGCAGCCTAGATCAAGTTCAAAATTGCACAGCCAAATCAGAATAAAAGTTCATTTTACTATTCTCACGGTATTTTCTCATAATCAAACCAATTTTACCAACAGGCATGTGATGCAAAAAGATTTAGATAGCAGACACTGAAAGAAAGAGACACAACATCCAAACTTTCAAGACTCCTTAGAATGGAATTGCACAGCTTTATCCTACGAACAAGAAGGAAAACCCGGGGCATTTTGAGCAGTAAAAAGGAAAAGAATCAAAAGATGTAACTAGCAAGGTGTTAAATGGTGACATTATGCCAATGATAGTTTGATTACATGATCTCAAAGTTCACCAAAATTTAAATCATAACCAGCAGTCTACAAAATTTATAAGTGCCAAAAACGTTTAAGGGGTTTACTTAAATTATTACGTTATAGAAGAAGTTTGACAAATCAAACATGAACCATCGAATTGTTCAAGATATAAAGATTCCAATTAGTTGTCGTCTATTTTGTATTTAGTACAACTTTTAGTGAGGCTAATATGCATACATTTCAAAAAAAAAAAAAAAAAATTGTCAGCTACGCCTCAAGTTTCCCAAATCCAAGAACGCATTTAAAGTTGAATAAGTAGGTCAATTATAAGAATCTATGCTCCTGCAATAAAAAGTGCACTTCGAAAAGCTCAATTCCAACACCAAAAAAAGTTTTTAAGAAAGGAAAAGTATGGTAAACAAGACCAGCATCAAGAATGTCACAATCACAATAAAGTAACAAATAATTTTGGTTTTCCTTAAATGGAAGTGGTCTAAAAGATGGCATATGAATGGATAATTATCGTTCCAACATTTATCTTGACGTGGCAGATCAAAAATATGCAGGAAAAAAGCTCAACTAATTAAAAGAAGGAAACAATGTCTATAAACTGTGACTCGCCATCTATCTCTCAAACTGCCTGCCCACCCTTAGATCTGCGCTTCTCTCTCTCTCTAGAGATTTCAGTTCTGTATTATTTCAAATGTGACATGACAACAACAACCACCCAGTGAAATCTCACAAGTGGGGTCTGGGGAGAGTAGTGTGTACGCAGACCTTACCACTACCTACGAAGGTAAAGATGTTTCCGAAAGACCCTCGGCTCAAGAACGTTAAAAATGAAGCAATAGAGAAATAATAGCAACAACAAGGTAATAAGACAGTGGAAGCAAAATGCGACATGAGGAATAATAATTTCAAAGTAAGCCCAAATAAACTGAAGAGTTATATCCCCCCCCCCCCCCCNCCCCCCGACCCTGATTACAGGTGCTTGTCATTTGTGAAATGAGGGGGGGAAACGAACTTACTATATTATAAGTAAACTAAACAAAATAAGGAACGTTTAAGCTAAGTGAAGTTTCCAAATTACCAGAACTTTAAATATGACACAATAATTATGAATTTTCTCTATAATATTCCTTACCCTTAATTTGACCTATTCTATCATATAATTGCACCATTTCTCTTAAACTTTATCATATTTAACCATGGCTGGATAAGAAAATGATTTTTAACCCTAATTGATGCTCACTGTCAGGACAAATGCATCTTTTTCACTTCTACAGTTCTACTAATAAAAATGAAGATAAGCCACTTCAGCCCAAAAAAATTAAAATCTGAATAACACAACTTGGAGGCATCAACAAAATTAAAGGACCGGAAAAGCATTTTCCAGATAGACTGCATTGGCTATACAAGCAATCGCAATTGGTTCACTGCAATACCTGACCTATCCATCCAGCCAACTCATCTGGATTAGCTACAGTCGCCGAAAGACATATAAGTTGAACTTCCTTTGGGCAATAAATAACCTTAAGAAACAGAAAGAGGGGAGTAAATATAGGAAATTGGTACTCTGAGGCTGCTGATGAATTGAGATGTAAAGAACTTGCACATTCAGAAGACACATACTATTTCTTCCCAAACTGTACCCCGAGATATGTCACTTAAATAGTGTACTTCATCCAAAACAATTACATCAACATGAAGAAGACCACCATCTGAGGAAGCAACCCCTACGCTGCAGAGTGAAGTGTAATGCAGTAGTAAGTTTAGGAATGAATAAAACAAGTTTTTAATAAATAGAATAAAAGTCTGACAGTTTCTTTATCCTTCACTTTTTTTCAACTTTAAAGGGAAGCCACATGTTACACAAATTGCAAAACTAGAACTCAATAATAATTTGATGGTATACATGGTCAACTTTGATCGAGCATATTATCTCCAAAATTTCTATACACAAAAGCTAAATCAAGTTGTCGCAAGCAGAGAGCTTTTTTCTCCTAACAAGCCAATCAGCATGCTGTTAATCTTCGTTTCTATCTAATAACTAATATGCAACAGTTCATAAAACCACTGAAATGTACCTCTGGTACAGCATATTGCGCAAAATCTCAGTTGTCATAATTAAAACCTGAGCATCTCTATTAACAGCTGAATCTCCAGTGAGGAGCCCCACATTACTTTCACCAAACGTCTCACTGTAAAGTGCCCCAAAGAAAATTGAAGCTCAGAAACATAATTATTCTGTAAAAGGAAACATGACAAAAATTGATAGAGGTGAATCGTACAAAACAGGATAAAAGATAGGGAGTATACAAAGTTTTATGCTAACAGTGTAAATAATATTTACTCAATCAGGTCATTTAAAAGGTGATTGCAGGTAACTCCAATTAATAGCATTGATTGGTAATATAGATGATAAGTAACCAGCTATAATAGTTTAGATTACAATGGTGTAAAAATCATTACATTGTCACTGTGTAGAACTTAAATACTTTAGTAAATTCGTACCAAAATTCTCGAAATTTCTGATTGGATAAAGCCTTAAGAGGAGTAGTATAGAATAGTCTCCTTCCTTTTGCCACTGTAGCAACAGCGGCAGCTTCAGCAATCAAAGTTTTGCCGCTACTTGTAGGCGCAGAGACCACAACAGATGAACCTCTCAAAAACGCTTGAATCGCCAATCGCTTCAAAATTTCGCACAAAATATATCAACATAACTAGAAAAATAAAAAAATGGAATAATGTTTACTGGAAAAAGAAACAAAACTGACCTGAAATTTGTCGATTCGAAAAGAGTAAATAGAAGCAAGTTCATTAGCATCGATAATTTCATCACCGAACTCTCTAACTTCACTCCGAAGCTTCTCGACTCTCTGCTTTCTCGTTTCCTCGATGTTCAGCACTTCGCTAACGGAATTTTCGAGTTCCTCATCGCTCTCTTCGCCTCCGTCGGATATCTCAGCCGAAACGACATCGTCATATTCTTCCGCCGCTTCTTCGTCATCATCATCATCCTCTTCTTCGTCTTCGTCTTCGTATTCGTCTTCATCTTCGTCTTGAGACTCTGTTGGAAAAACAAACCTCGGAAATTTGTAGAAGATTCTAGATTTAGAACTGTACGGAGCGTGAATGGACTTGAGGGAACAGAATCCTGGGGTTTGGATTTGGAGAAGTGGAAGAAATGGAGAGTGAGTGGTTATGGAGTTTGAAGGAGAAGGTGAAGGGAAGAAGAGGATAGGGAGTGTGCTCATGGCGGGAGGAAATTGTAATTTGATACAGTCTAAAAGAAGATTTTATTCACAAAAGGTTCCGTGCCGTAAAACGGCATCGTCCGAAAAATAGCAAGGAACAGTAATTATTTTGGAACTACATCGAAAAAGAAAGTTTCATTTTGACACATTAAGTCCTAATGGATACAAATTTGGACCCGCTCGGGTCGTGCATTATTCGGATCAATTCGAAAAATCAAACTGAACCAAACTCAAATTTTAATATGGATTAGCTTTTTAGTTTTTTTGTTTGGTTTCGGATTTAAGAAAATAAAACCCAAAAAAATAATTTAATTTTATTTATAATATATAATTTACGGAAAATTAGAATTTGAGTATTTTATCGCTTTCAGCAGCTTTCTTATATACTAAGGTATATAACGCCTCATTCTTCATTTTTAAAATATAACTCCTTATCCCTCGTCTTTACTAAGTAGTATTTTAATTGTGAAACGTTCATCAAAAATCTCACTATTTCTGCGGGTTTAATATTTGCAAGTAAGAATTAATCTCATTTGAACTTGGAATATAATTTAGATTTTGTATTTTATGTTTGAACGTGTTACTTTAAATATTGTAGTATATTTTAAAAACTTTACCAGTGACTAATATTAGAAACTATATTAAGAGGTTTATCATTATTACTTTTCATTCTTTAAAATATATTTTTTCGCCAGAAAGTATAAATATTTGATTATTTTAATTATATTATATGAAATAACTTTGTTTACCCTTAAAATGGATAATAATTAAATTTATACGCAATTTTAAGGATATATGGATTAATCCGATACAAGTGATTAATAATGTTAGATAAGCAAATGAAATATAGAATAAATAGCCAAACTAGCAATAGTATTGAATCCGGGCTCGGTTGTGGGCTTAACAATTTATCTGCCTTCGGTTCATAGCCAAAGTATATATGAAAAGTTATGAACAAGAATAAGAACCTTTGAATAGCTTAGAAACAAAGAAAATAAGTTTTATATTGCCTTGATATGTGTGTTACAGTATGTTTATTGAATAATAAACTTCTCATTTATGTAGTAGGAGAGTTTTACCCTAAATATAATTATAAGAAAGGTAAAAATCTTCATTTTCACTGATCACTAGTCTGCTGCCGATACGAGCCGAGATTCACGCCGTGATATCCGGTTGGGCACGGATATCACAGCCTTTTGTTAATTGTGTGCGGACGCTTGATAATGCTTTTTGAGGTCTTGGAACTCGAACCGGATCCGGAGGGCGTGGTCTCGATGGCTCCGACGGCAAGTGTTTTGTTTGGACCTTGATATGAGAGGCTCCTTGCTTCGATTCCGATTCCGATTTCTTGTAGTTATGTCCTTGCTTCGTTTGCCCCACCGGAAAATCGGGGTGTGATATGTGCCAAACCCACACCACGATTAAGTAGCGAGGCGATCGATGCAATAATAAACCCAACAAAGGTCGGGATCGAATCTACAAGGAGTTAGAATATGGGATTAGGTATATATCTAAGTTAATTGCAAATTTTTAGTTTAATTACACTTCCACAAGTTTGGGCTTGATTTTTACTTCTAACTTACTCTAAAGTTTGCAATAATTGAAACTAAGGACAATATTTTTGTTGTTGTTTTTCAAATGTTTAAAGAGACTAGGGTAGTGACTTCTACCTAGGTGGATATCTAACGGGTAGCAAAATCTGGGCAAGCTTGATTAGTTGAGATTGTAATATAGCTATCACACCCGGGTACTCACTCTATACCTCTCGGTAGTTTGAGTGATTTTGCCCAATTTGGCTTTCTCAAGTCCAAATGGGTATTCATGCAAATCAAGTGATATTAGCTCGAGTTGGGTATTACTATCTCTAGGTTTAACCCTTTAATTGGAGCTACCAATTATTTGAGTTCACCCTAATTCCTTGTTAGCCTAGTTTTCCTAGACTTAGTCCCTCTTTCTCAAGTAGAGACTAAGTCATAAAGGCATGAATCTCAACCATTAATTCTCGAGTTCTAGCGAGAACTAGGCTAAATATCACTAACCCATTCACATTCAAGCCCTAAAATCAAATACCCATTAAATACTCACACTAGGGGTGGGTCGCAACCCTAGCTATGGGTTTAGCTACTCATGAAAATAACAGAAATTAAAGATGAAATGAAGATAAAATCCATAATATTAATTTATGGAATGAAAATCTTAATGTTAAGAAGTGAATCTAGTGCAAAATTTCCGAAAACAAAAAAGCCAGTCGTCACATGGGCTCATACAAAACATAACATAACCTGAAAATGACAAAAGTTCTATTTATACTAAGTTGAAAATATCTCACAAAAATGCCCCTGCAGAGGTTATGCAGCCGCGTAATTCTGAGTGCGGCCGCACTCTTGCTTTCGCGGCCGCATAATTCTGATGCAGTCTGCGTTCTTCTCTTTTGGATCTGGGTTGAGCTGAACTTTTGCGGACCGCATAATTCTAAGAGCGTCCGCGCTCCAGATTATGCGGCCGCATAAAAGTGATGTGGTCCGCGTTCTTGAGTTTGGCTTGAAATCAACTCTCTGATTCTTCATCTTGCGGACCGCATAATTTCGATCGCGGCTGCACAAGGTACTTCCGCGGCTGCACAATTCTGTTGTGGTCCACACTTCTCTCTTTTGCTCAAGTTGTTAGCTCTCTAAATCTCAGTCATCACGGCCCGCGTAATTTCAATTGCGGCCGCACAGGGACTCTCGCGGCTGTATATTTCTGGTGCTGTCCGCGCTCATCACTTAGCCCAAAATCACACTCTCTGAATCTCCCTCTTGCGGACCGCATAATTATGATCGCGGTCGCATCATGGTTTTTGCGGCCACACAATATTTGTGTGGTCCGCACTCCAGACCTCTTTGCCCGGGCTTGGTTTTTGTTCAACTTTTGACTCCTTTGTGAGTTGATTTTGATTCCTTTGGCTCATTTTGAACAATTCCTGCAAACAAGCATATTTCATTAGTTTCCGGGAATACCTTCAAGAATATTTAGCCTAAAACACAAGTAAAAGAGAGCAAATAATAGGTTAAAATCCCTACTTATCAACTCCCCCAAACTTAAGCTTTTAGTTGTACTCAAGCAAATAAGGTCACTCCCACCTCCACTAGAAAAAATAATATTTCAGTTGGCCTAAGGTGAATCAATCATGCATCAATTGTGACTAACAATTACCCTCAACACAAATGAATTATCAACAACACCATGTGTTTGACCTTTTGAGTACCATAGTTCTAATGTGACACTAGAGCATCAAGAGTTGACTTAATTCACCAAGGAAGTTCGCTCTATCACGTAGGTCATTGTGGAACCCAAACTCCTCCTCCTCTACTCTCCATGAGCAAAACTCACTTTAAAATGTAACACTCAAAACAAGGATTGTGAAGCAGTGCGCTCATCTCTCTCAAAAGAATGTCACAAGTTCGGCTCTAAGTACCATAAGTTTGCCCCTTATGTAAATCACCACTAATGTAAGCTCACTCAACTTGAAATCATATAGAGCTTTTGCGGGAATGTAATGAAGGCTTTTGGATCAAGGTAGGACTTATCGGCATATGATGGTTTCATCTTTCCTTAAGCAATCCATTTTCTCTTTTTGGCTCATACTTTCTTGACTCTTTGAGTCATTTTCTTCTTCCTTAGGGGAATTAGAGAGACGTAATGTCACCTTTTCTTGCTCATGACAATCATTTTTCTCCTTTTCTAATCACTGCATGCCTTCCATCATTGCTTTCTTTGAATCCCTTCAACTTTCTACTTTATTTATATTTTTTTTGACATATTTCTTTTTGGCCTTTCTTCCTTTTCTTTGCCTCCCCTTTTCTTCATTTTTTTTTTGTTCTTTGTACCTTTTATCACTTTCACATTCCTCGTCTCTCCCCCAAACTTATGCTTTTTCCAATTGTATCAAGAATGCTAAGGAAAGATCGGGTGCTAAGAGAGGGTCATTATAAAACGGATAAAGGCTTGTAACATGGCTATTGAATGAAGAAGGGCTTCGACTCAAAGGGGTTGACTAGGGATATCACATTGGTAGACTACGGAAGCTTTCAAGTTTCAAATTAGATTAAGGAGAGCCTACAATCATTTCTCAAGTCGAGCTATACTTAGAATTTTGCCTAGACAAACATTCAGGGCAAGTTCTAGACTTATTGGCACGAAACTTGGACTTGAAATTCAATACCTCACCTCTCAAGCTGCTGGGTTGTTAAAGAGAACAGAGTCGAGGGCCCACAACAACCCTAGCTAAGATTGAAAATCACAAATGGCTCAAAGAAATCACTCGATAATTGTTTTAGTCAACACAGGAGTCTAAAGGTCACAACTAGAGCTATTCTTTGCCAATCAGCTTGTTTCTAACCATAAGGTCGAAGGTAAATGTGTTAGTACCAAGTGAAGCCTGCTTGAGACACTTTTATTCATTACTACTATATATACAAAAACATAAAGAAAACGGACTCAATCCCTTAAGAAGGTTGTCACGCCATCCGTCGTTGGAAAGAGCCACCCAATTCACACAATATCCATCTTTGGAAAGAACCGTGACATTAAGAAAACCAAAAGCTTATTGTTCACACAAAACGTAAAAAGAAGCTAGCAACTTAAAAAGAAGCTACTAAAGTAAATAAGAAGCTATGCTACTAAGGAAAAACAACGAAAGAAATTATGATGTAAACTACGGTAAGTAGACTGAATATGTACAAAATGAAGTAAAGCGAATATATACATACTGGAAATGAATATATACATCGAATGGAAAGAATATATACATACCAAAAGTGAAAATAAAGATAAAGAAAGATAAAGAAAAATAGTATAATGGTTATTACATACCAAATGTCATCAAATCAAAATGGACCACCCCCCAAATGAAAAATAGCATTGTCCTCAATGCTTATAACAAATAAGAACATGGAAAAGGGGTAGAGAGTATAGAAAACTCCATATGTGGTCTCTGTCTGCATCGGGTCCTCAACATGGACGGGGTCCTCAACATGGATGTGCTCATCAATA